GACGCAGAGTATTTGATATACCTTACCTGTTAGACCGGAAATTTGGAATTCAACTCGTCGCGCCGCCACCACTTCACTGCGCCGCCCACGACGACGGTCGTGCATAAATCAGACGAAATGGTCGATTGAAACACTTTTGCGGACTATTATTATTATTATTATTATCATTATCATTATAATGCACATACAAGGGGCGAATTGTCGTTATTATTGTGGCCTGCCATTATCACGTCCGCGCAGTGGAGTACTTAGAGCTGAATTTCGTGGGAAGGAAGGATATTATTGTCCAAAAAATACATCTTACAAACAAATTAATTCTTCCTGAATATTTCACTGGGAGGGGTTGTCCTCCGCTCACCGCCGTTAGTAGCAGTGGTGCCAAAGTTTTTAAAATGCGGTAGGGAAATTTCAAAACTTTGTGGCCTCAATATCTTAATTATTTAATAATATAGAGGTATCCTAATATACATTTACTCATAATCATGGCTTTAATACAGGTACCTACTTAATTATACTCTTGCTCATAATAAAGTTTGATGTAAAAAACATGTGGCCTACTGGCCACATTTTTCAAAAAATTGGTTGGCCCATGACCCTACGTTAACACCGACTTCGGCTCCACCGGTTAGTAGAATATTCGGGTTCTAGGATATTCTTCTTTCCACAGCGTAGACAGATATTTTGTGTTTGTTTTTTTTTTTACACGATTTCAAAATGTCCGTGAAGTTAGCCGCCCAACATTATCCCACGGAAGTCATATTTGGTCATCCTTTAGTAAGTCATTAGTAAGTATTTGTAAGAGCAAAATCAGAATTTGTAAATCAACAAAAACCGGCTCACTTACCGGGAACCTTGAAACTATGAATTCCGAATAATTCATAACATCATAACGTTTTTATTTTATATGGTACCATTTTATATTTTGTTGTAGTAGCTGCAGTTGCCGGCAGTATTGTAAACTCACAATACTATTTTTGTGACATTCACGTCAGATTTACTGTATCACGATACTTCTAACATAGGGGGTGAAACCGTGGATAATAGAGAGATGCATAATATCGGGCAAATATCGGATAGGCTATTGGAGCTTATCATGGGTTCATTTATTACTATCGATTTTGAGTTTATATGGGATAAATATTTTTCATTATCATTCAAAAATATATCGACGATTATAGATAATCGACAGTTGTATCGGTGATCTTATTTCAACATAACCTCAAACAGTACCCCACGTAGGAGAGAAAACATATTCATAAAATATATTTTTTCTCTCCTACAAAAAATACCGCGACCACATACAGTATTAATATAGCCATCATCCATGTATCTATTATCTATGGGTGAAACACGATTTCGAACCATTGTGGGCTGATCAAAGCATAGTCCAGCCAAAACACGAATAATAATAATAATTATTATTATTATGGCCACTGCAGGCTATAAATTATAAAATATTATTTACAATAATATTAGCTGATAGTAGTTATTGAAACTATTCCAAACGCGTTATTTTCAAATCAATAAATTGTTTTTTCGTCCGCTGTCACAAAAAAAAAAAAAAAATAGGTGTTTTGACCGTGTACGTTTCCACTGTAATTGGTATCGGATTCCTAATATTTGTTTGGAAATCGTTATTGTGTTGTATAATATTATATAATATAAAATATACTGTCGTCGTTTCCACACGTAATTGGACCCACCTCCGCCACTGTCACCCTCACCGCTGTAATGTTGTCATTAGAGTGCTTTGCCCGACCTTGGACGATTCATTTTTCATTTTAATGGACATTATTCGTGTCGAGTAATTATACTAATCTGCGAGACGATTTTTATACGCTCCTATTAAGAAACTTCCCTCTGCAACGTGCTAAATAAACACAACCGCACGAACCACCTGCTCATGTTGCAAAGGCGTTGTTGATTCAGAGTCTAAAACTAACAACAATTTAGTATTAATATCAGTGGTAATATTATTAGCTGATTAATCAGTTTGACTCATTTGATTTCGTTATTTATTTAATGCCGGTGTATTATATAATATGTTAACCACGTTTAAGTTATTTACCTATTGATATTATATTTTATTATTCTGAACTCAAATAGGGCGAAACCGTAAAAAAATTTAAAAGAAGTTAAAAGTGGAAAAAAAGTTATTCTTTTTTAAACCCGAATAGGAACACGTGATTTTTAAACAAACATATTTATATTGTCTTTGTTTTTCGACATGCGATGTAGTAACATATTATGTGTTTAGTATAACTATATCTACCGCTATTATGGAAAAACAAAATTACATTGGATACTATAATAGATATAACTAATTGCTTGATTGTTTAAATTCAAACTTTAGAAACAAATCGTGTGGTCAATATTTAATTTAGCAGGCATAATTAATAAATAATTTAAGCCATTAGCATATGCTTTTTATACATATTTTATTCATATATTTTATTATAACATTTAAAGTGTAGTATTTTACTATCTATAGTCACGTATGGTTTGGTGTGGTGCAGTGTTTGCATTCAGTCACGAATGTGCTCTGAGCGTAAGAACCAGCCAGTATCATTAGTTCCCAGATAGGTGAACATACTGGATTTTTAGAGACAAATCCTTGCCACACACGCGTTGAAACCAACAGTACCCCCCCCCCCCCAGTATCAGGCTAATGGCCTCAGATGTCGAAGCCTTCGTAAAAAAAAATAAGTTTACTACGGTCTAGAGTTTTTATGAATTTTTATTTTCAAATATTATGAAAAATTAAAAAAAATCAAAAGACATCACTAATAACAGAAACTTAATTTAATATCAATCTAAATTATTTATAACGATTATCAAATTAAAAACGTGATATGATCATATTATCCTATTATGAATAAATAGCATTAACTATAATATCCTAAATACCTGAAATAATTAAATTTGTATTATTAATTTAATAGATTAAACAAATAACCATTGTGTACTTTAAACGTATCAAAATCAATTAATAAAAATTATTATTTATAGGTATATCATGCTCATGTGATATTGTGATGGAGTTTATAACTTTAAAGTTCCTTAGATTAACAAATCATCATAACAATTTCCTTAGACAGTTTATTTATAAGGTTATTATAAAAATAAAATAACGCTTTAATAGTAGTAATAATATAGGTAGGTTGAATTAAATTAGTTTCAGTACCTATAATAAACATGGTAGGTTTGAATTTACTATCATTTTTAAAAACACCAAGAAATACATAAAAGATTATTTCAAATCTGACAGGCAATACGAATTTCATAATTTTTATAATTTATAACTTTTATAATTACATCACCGTAATAAATTAAATTATTAAAGGTACCTTATATGAATATTACAGCAAAGTTTTGTTAAAAGGGCTTATACTTTGAAAATGCAATACCACACGTTAAGAACACACTGCTCGCTTGCTTCATTTAAACAAATCATTGGTTTGCTATTCACTTGGGTATAATTTTATGTCTCTTTTAAATGTCAAGTAGGTAGTGTTATAAATAATAGTTTTATAATATTATCGTAAAGGTACAATATTCTTTATTATCAAGGAGATATAACATTATAGTCAGATTAAAGATTACACGAATCGTATGGAATTGTAAATTTATTTTAAATAATAGTTCTGAATTTGATTACAAACTAATTTTTTCAAATTTTCATTGAAAAACTCAAAAACGTTACCAGTGATGTGTACTTGAATAAAACATAATTATTTGTAAATGTGTGTCTCCATATACTTTTTAGCACATTATAACTAAATAGTTTTCTATTACTATAGGCGATATATAATCACCATCCACCCTAAGAATTCAAACATGAAGAAACAACCCAAATAATTAGCCATTCGCACAATATAAAAAAAATTGAACCAATATTTTGACAAAGTAACATAACATAAACGGCATGAATTTAATATTGAGAACAGATTTTTATTAGTAAAAAAACGTTATCACGCCTCTACAGTGTTATATTATATTCAGAGATTTCCGCTGAAAAAGTATTATTCCCTCTATTGTACCATTCGTCCATCAGTTACAAAATTCGTTGCCATGGTTACCAATAATAAAATAATTGTTAGTTTTATAAAAAATATTATTCTTTTGCTAGGGTATATTTCCTACAAGTATCATATTATTATATATATTTTATATTTTATAACTGTCCAATAGTCACATTAAATTAATTACATTTTCTAGTTACCACTTATACCTACTGTTATTTAATATTTCCAATCATATCAACCATATTTTGATTACAGCTGCCAATAAATGATTATGATGCGTTTAAATATTGAAACATTTTCATTGTATTACTTAAAACTTATATTTCTATTGAATACTTTTATTTTTAGAGCTTCACACACTTCTTCCATCTTATTTTTCAACAATTCCAAGTAAATGTACTGATTTAATGATAATAGATTTTTTTTTAATTTTATCATATTTTTCTACGAACCTTTTGTTTTTTTTTTGGGGGGGTTAGGGGGTTGGGGGGAATAGTAAGAAAAACAAAAAGTTTCACTTGGAACCTTTAAATATCTAAAATTGAGTGTACTTATTTTATTTATATTTTTTTTTTCAAAAGTTTACCTCAAGAAAAAACTACGGATAACTATAGATATTAAATGTATGCTTTTGAATAGTCAGTAACCAAAATTCAGTTATTCACACTAACCCAAGTATATTATCAAATATCCAAATTTGTGGTTTATGACTTATGTATTTGGAAGTTTGCATGTATCGTATTTATACTTCATCGGAACTCTGTCACTAATATGTTTGTCAATTTTAACTCTATGTAAACAACTATTAGCGTTGGATTCGACTCAACATTTTCTTTTCACACATTGTCGCATAAAACTGCTGTGGAACATACCTTCAATGATATTACGTGCAACGCCTATATGGATTTTGTGGTAAAACTGCTAATAATTAGTAATATAATGAAGGTACAATCATAATAATTAAAATTAAAATTTTTATTTGTTTTTATTATTTTGAAGTCTCTTTTTGATATATATTTCTCTTCTTAAAGCTGTAGTATTCATTCGAACGCCTTCTCTGTGGGTTCTCTTTGTCTCTGGCCGTGGTGGAGTTGTTAACTCCACTTTGACGTCGTTATTCATATCGATTAAAAGAATGTCGATGGCGCTGTATGTATGGATAATAATAATAATAATAATAATAATAACAATATCAGGCAACATAGAAAGCAATTATTATTATTTTTTTTTTAATAGATTATTTTATAGTTGCCTGTTAAGAACCAATTTTAGATAACGTCAATTTCAGACGTGGCTAATAAAAAAATAATTTATTTTATAAGACTCCTCTCAAATAATATAAGCCCCACCAATAATATCTCTACTTTATATTCGATTATAATTGAATATTTTTTAACTAATTTAAAATTGGTACCTACAATAAGTGCACGTAAAGTTTACTATAAAAATAATAATGATAAATCGTAATTTTTTTCTTACCTCATAACTCCATCCTTCGTTAGTATCTCCTCATTTAATATGTTTTCCGTGTTATTATTTGCATATAATGGTGTTGCTGGGTTCGAAATTGATTTAAAATTCTCCGATTCCAACTCCATGCCTTCTTCTCGTTGATCTTCTAGATCATGTAGTATTTTGGATGTTATAACATTTTTGGAAATAATTCCGTTTGTGACTTCATTTTTTAAATCTGTAATATCAGTTTGGACGTCTTCTTTGTGGGTTTCCTCTACCTCTGACCACAGAGTAGTTGTCGACTCCCCTTTGATTTCGTTATTCAAATCGGTTATAAAACAGTCTACGGCGCTGTTAGTATCGATAATAATAATATTAGATAAAATAAGAAGTAACAATTAGTATTTTTATAGTAGATTATTTTAAGATTGTATGTGAATAACTAATTTTATATTATAAGACTCATCATGAAAAAACCTAATCCATGTGCATTTATATTTAAAATCTGATTTTAATTCAAAACGTTGCTATTAATTGATAAGTAGATTTAGATGCAAGTACAACTAACTATAAGCATGGTAATGATTATTCGTAATGTTTTCAAACCTTATAACCATATCCTTTGTCAGTGTCACATCATTCGGTATGTTTTTGTCGTTTTTATTGTTGTTATCATTACTATTTGTATTTAGAGGTGTTGTTAAGCTGAAAACTGATTCAAAATAGTCCTTGCATTTCAACTCCACTTCTTCGCGATGATCCACCAGATTATGAGACTCTGCAGATGTTATATCTGTTTCGGAAAAATTTTCATTCGAGGTCTGCGGTTCAATGATCGTGTAAGACGGTAATTTGGTAAATTTTGCTTTATCTAGATGCAAACAATTTAAAAGTTATGACTAGCTGTGAAAAATAGCATTTAAAATTGGTGTAATAGGCACTTGTATTTTTCTCGAAATCTGTCATTTTTACTTGTTAATGTTCAGTTGAGTTATTTGAAGTATTAATAATGTATGGAGTATAAATAAGTATTGACTAATTTTTGTTTTGGAAAATATGTGTTATAATTTAATAATAGATTGTAAACAACGATATTGTCACGGTGATGTATTAAGTTATTTTCAGTTTACGTGCAAAAGTAACTATATATTTTTTTTTTTAATTTATACGAAAAAGTATTTTTATTTCAATGATATGTTAATTTATCTTTGATGAGAATTTAACTTAATTACCAATTATTTAATAACTGAATATCTATTCTATAATTTTAAATATCGTATATTAAGCTCCAAACGTAGATTTAGTAAAATAATGAATAGTGGTAAACAAGGTTTTCGCTATTGTATTTCTTACAATATTATGTGTGTTATATTTTGAAAAATACATAATACACAAAAAAATTAAATGATTAATACAGGGCGTATTTCTAAGTTGCATATTTAAAAATAAATAATAGCAATGTGAATATTTTGATATCGCGCAGAATGTAGTACATAATATTGTTGTATGTATACAATTCGACAAAACCTTGCCAATTAAATTAATTGCAAATTATTTACGTTTACCGGTGGAGAAATGTATAAGTATAAAATAGTGGTTGCTGGATATGTTATTTATGCAAGAAGTGTTGTATCTAAGAACATTTAAATAAAATCAGTTGAATTAAAACAACAGGGACAAAATATATGTAACGATAAAAATATCAAGGCAAGAAGATAACCGTTTGAACACACAAATAAAAATAACAATTTGATTATCTACCAAAGAACTACATAATGTTTAAAATGTCCAATGAAGGCGGTGAATGAAAGGAATCCGACCCTTTAATCCGATCAAAAAAAAAAAATTACCCCCGACAAATATTACTCGCATATCTAAAAAAAAAAAATTGTTATTTTACCAATAATTAACTCGTCATTAACAGAATACACTGGATTCATCCAGTACCCGATAAACAACTCTTACCGACGATCGCTTAATTATTAGTGTGTAATAATCAGTGATAACAAAGCAGTGACAGGGAATAAAAAAAGAAAGGACATTAAACCCGAGGTATGGAACTTGTTATTTATTTTTTAATACTACCGATGTGCATTTTACTACAATGCACATTGGCCATGTTCTATTTAATCGTATTTAACTTGAAATAAATGTCTATGCCTGAATTATATACGACAGAAGTTAGTTGAATCAAACAACAAACCACAGAAAGTATGTGTTTTCAAACTTCTTATTTTATGGTTTTACAATGTTTTTTCTACAAATAATTTCTTTTCATCAAAAGTTTATCTTATTCCACTAATGGTATATTTTAATCATGTCGAACTTTATGAGGTATGTTCGTAGAATTTTTGATTTTAACTTGTTTTATCATCTGAACAATAAATTTGCGTTTTAACAACAGATTATAATTATAACAAAGTTTCCTATAGTATCTACCTATTCATTGCGAGAAATTTAAATCAAACTTTTAGTTAACCTTAATGTTTTTCGACAAATAATTATACAAATTCATTACTTGTTAATTATGTATAATCAAACATGGTAATTATTATATTATTATTGTTGACTATTCTTTAAATACATATAAATCAAATATTTTATGAAAGAGTTTATAAACAAACTACGCCATAAACGATTAGGTTAGTGTTCAGCAGTAGTGAGTTTTAGTATAATAGGTGGTGGTTTATTAATCTTCTAAAAATATCATAAAGCAGTAATCAACTTATAGCATGCAAAAAAGTGTAATTATGAGACTGGTGTTTTATTTTGGTTTTGGTTAATATTTTAAAACGAACAACTAACAAGTATTATAAATACCGTATAACGCATAATAAACTAACCCAACTGTTATTATACTTAATTATTGTTATTAGATAAAGTTATGGACTCAAATTGCAATTTATTGACTCGTTATGTTTTTATACAACGTGATTCATTACGCATGCTAACCCCCTTTTTTCTTTTAATAATGAATTTATTAAAAAATGTGCACTAGAAATAAAAATTAGTTTAAAAACTTGAACAATCATGGGCAAAAAAAACAATTATACTGAAAATCTACGAGTCAGTTAAAAAAAAAAAAAAAACATTACTTAGCTTTTTCAATTCAAGGGCTGTACATGACGTATTGCACTGCATAGTATCTTCTCGTGATCATAAAGTATCACGAAAAGTAAAAAATAAAATATTGCGCTACATCGTAAATTCTATTCGCTTTGAAACACCAGAGATTATTGTTATAATATGTTTCAGACCTTTGCATTTGAGTTGGCCAATGAAATTCACATTGGTGTTTTTGCATTGTAAAAATGAAACGGGCCACAAACACAAATACAGACCGAATCGAGTGTTAATCGTTCCAAACACTGGGCATGTGTTTCAAACATAAATAATAAAACCCAGTGAATGGTTTCGGACACCGTAACGGTGGTCCATGTACCCGTTGCTGACACATCCCTTTGAAATTTCTGCGTGCTGAAAATAATAGTACACAAGATACATTTTTTCCCTACAAAAATAAAAAAAGCGCATAAACGTTGTTTGTAACGTTTTGTTTTTGTATCGAGTAAATCGTTTGCAGACTTATTTAGAAGGACTGCGAGTATTCTCTTTGTAGAACTTAACACAGTGGCTATAGTGTACAAAAAAACGTAACAATTTTATAATACACTTCTTGTTCTACGGGATTTAATAATTGAAACCACGATCGACTTTATTAATATTATTGTAGCGAAATAAATATCAAATTTTGAGTTTTCGTTATAAAAGAAAGTAAAAAATAACTTGACAGTATATCAGGCAGTTGAAACCTGCAGGGCCAAATATTAAGGAATGCGCATAAAGGCTATGATTTTTCGCTGCTCCCAAGTACTCAAATCACACTCGAAAATTTTTTTGGGTTTTTTTGATATGTTCCCATTTATAACTGATCATTAATACCGTTCTCCCAATAACTACAGTATCTTATTAAGCCCCCCCACCAATTAAAATTCTCGCAGTCTAATTTAATAATTTATCTATTCACTTGAAATTTTGAGCACTATACAATAGTTATTTCTTAAACTGCACAGATGTAGCAACCGTGTTTGAACTATTTGTAAACCATCTAATTTATAATCTGGATATCAGGTCTCTCTCTCACTCCTCTCTCTCTCTCTCTCTCTCTTGCCATCAATGTACCGAATATTCAAATATTTTAAACATCTAAAACACACACTTGTATTGTTTTATAAATTAAGGATATAATTCGTCACATACTCGTATGACTGGTTTGCATATGCACGCTGAATATAATATGTGTGCGCATATATTTTATACTGCACAGCAAACAAGACATTTTTAATAAAGTTTACAAATGACCAGGCAGTAAAAACGTCAAGAATAAGATTTTTAAATCCTGAACCCGACAGCCATATTATAATATTTTCATAGCTGTAAGGTACCTGTTTTCAACATTTATCAAACATATAAATAGGTAGCTGTAATGTATCCCGTTTGTATGAACGAGCGTTTTTTTTTTTTTTTTAAATGTTTACCGATTAACTATACAATTTAGCACACGTGTTGTGCAAACGTACTTGACACCATTCCTAATACCTATCTATAATTATTAACTATAAGGCGTATAAAGCACTAAATATTACGAATGAATTATCAAACTACTAATTAAGTATTTAATACAGTATGTCATGCGTTCAAGTGGGTACCTATATATATATATATATATTTTAATAGATCTATACATATAAATTATTTCCATGGAAGTCTTTCAAGCAATTCTTGAGGGTCGTAATCGAAAATTCTCGCAGTAGCATAATAATCATAATAATAATAATACTAATAATAAAATATTCTGCCAAATAGCAGGAATTTTGTGTCTCGTTTCTAATTTTAATTCACCAAGTGTGGCGCGTGGGGCAAGCTTGGGTAATACTTTTTGTTTCAAGCAACTTTGTTAAAAGAAATTGTGGATTGCATATATACGTAGTTTGGTATAATTATTAACTCCGAAGATCTCGAGGGCCATCGACCGCCCTTTTCGAATATATTTCAAAGATGGTTAACTCGAAGTGACTTATATTGAATGGCCGACCATTTCAGTGCTTTGTGATAATCATTTTTTACAGCACCTATTATAACAAAAATTGAATAAAAGCAGCGGCCATAACCACCCTTTTACACTGCATCGTCGTTTCAAGTCTTTTTTTGGGGAAACTCGAAAATTTTGTATTTTAATAACTTGTAAATTAATGTCCTACTTTAATAATATATTTATTATTTATATTATATTTATATTAATATTATATTTCACAATTGTATGCAAACTTCAGCAATAAAGACTAACCGTTATTATAATTTCTTATTTATTTCACGTTTTTTTTTTTTTTGACCGATTATCATAATAAATACATTTGATAAAATTACCAAAATATATATTAACGTATTAAGCATCAAAATAAGTTAAATCAAATGTATACAGCATATGGTACGTATGGTATACCACGGTCCACAGCGGTCGTGAATTGGAGCGAACGTTGTATTTTCAGCGTGCTGGTTAGACATTATTAAATAAACAGAGGGCTTATGTTTTCCAACTTTATCAGACGCAAGAAAACTGGAAATCACGGTTGGTCTCCTCTCTCCTTCATATTATGCTGCAAGTTAATTTTTGTCTGAACGTCCTCGAATCATAATTTTATTTGGCATTAGCTCAGAAGTATCAGACCTCTACTTACTTATAATATAGGTAGGTACGCCAACATATTATTATAATAAAAATTGGTAAGAATCTATCACGATCAACGCGTGGATTAATACGAATCTCACCTCAACCGTGTAAGAGAAGAGAAAAATCAGTTTTTCGACGTTAAAAGACAATTTTCTGTTGGTAAATCACATACAATAATAATAATATACACTACAATAATAATAATATACTATATGCATATATTCGCTCACCCTTC